AGGAATGCTGCCTGGTCACTTTGTGGACAGTATGTAAAGGACTTTGGGTTGCTGAGAAAACTGGGCTTTGAGCTCCCAATTTCACTCTTCCCACCAGATGCCCCAGGTTCTTTTAACTAAAGGAACAGCAAGAGTTGTAGGTTTGCCTGTTGTGTTCCTGTGCCATCAGGCCTTGGGGACTGTCTGAGGGCAGAGACCAAGTCTTAGCCCTCGGGCAAGGTCCTCTATCTCTCCCCATTCGGTTTGGGAGGCTTCCTGAGATCCCAACTCCTCCCCTCTCCAAACAGGGAAAAGGGTCAGACGGACAGGCTTTTAACTTCCAGCCCCGCTGTTTCTCAGTGGCTTCTCCTCTGAGCCTTAGTCATCTGGCCACTATAAGCTTTCGTTTCTGTATCTGCGAAGTGAGCATAATATTTGCCTCCCTGGGTTCTTGTAAGGATGAATTGAGACGAGTGTGTCATAGTCAAAAGAGCATGTGTGGACTTGAGAATCCAGCTCAGCTGGGTTCTGGCCTCAGCCTGGCTGCTCCGGGAACGTGGATGTGTTTCTTAATCTCTCTGTGCCTTGGGTCCCTCATCTGTTAACTGGAATGATAACATTCAAAATAGGATTATTGTGAGGGTTAGTGTGGTAGCGAGTGGACCTGCTTGCTATATTCCCAGCATATTTGAGCAGCACCTGGTACAAATCTACTTGCAGACTGAGAGAAGTAGACTATTTAGTGGTTAAGATGTGTGCTCTGAGTTCAATTCCTAGCTCTGTGTTCCCCAGCTCTGTGACTGGTGAACAAGAAACTCCATTTCTTGGCCCCTCCAACATTCTATCTGTCCATCTACTTCATAAGGATGTTGTGAGGATTAAGGGAGTTCATATCTTATTGCATGAAGACCAGGACCTGGTGTGGTAGATTTTATACATGTGTGTGCTATTATTGCTTTGAATCATCCCCCAAACCTGTTCTTCAGATTAGGAAATTGAGACTTTGGAGAGTTAAAAGACTTTCAAAAGGCACCATAGCTGTCAGTAGTTGACAGTGGCCAATGTTGCTGGGAGGGTCACCTAGAAGTCCTTAGTGGATCTAGGGGGCCCAGGCTCTGACATCTTTCCCTGCTGCCGTCCCCTCTGCAGGTGGTCCGCAGCAGCCTGGAGAAACAAGGTCTACGTGTGCACAGTGTGCGGCTACACGGCTCGGCTGCCAGCCACGTGCTACACCCTGAGAGTGGTTTGGGCTACAAGGACCTGGACCTAGTGTTCCGGGTGGACCTGCGCAGCGAGGCGTCCTTCCAGTTGACCAAGGCAGTGGTGCTGGGCTGCCTGCTAGACTTCCTGCCAGCAGGTGTGAGCCGGGCCAAGATCACGCCACTGACACTCAAGGAGGCCTACGTGCAGAAGCTGGTGAAAGTGTGCACAGACACAGACCGCTGGAGTCTCATTTCACTGTCGAATAAGAGCGGCAAGAACGTAGAGCTCAAGTTTGTGGACTCGGTGAGACGCGAGTTTGAGTTTAGCATAGACTCCTTCCAGATCATTCTGGACTCTCTGCTGCTCTTCGGTCAGTGCTCATCCACGCCCATGTCTGAGGCCTTCCACCCGACAGTGACAGGTGAGAGCCTATATGGGGACTTCGCCGAGGCCCTGGAGCACCTGCGGCACCGAGTCATCGCCACTCGCAGCCCCGAGGAGATCCGTGGCGGTGGCCTTCTCAAGTACTGCCACCTGCTGGTGAGGGGCTTCCGGCCACAGCCCAGCACAGATGTGCGTGCCCTGCAACGCTACATGTGCTCCCGCTTCTTCATCGACTTCCCGGAGCTGGCGGAACAGCGACGCACGCTGGAGCGCTACCTGGAGGCCCACTTCGGGGGGACAGAGGCTGCCCGCCGCTATGCCTGCCTGGTGACGCTGCACCGGGTGGTCAATGAGAGCACCGTGTGCCTTATGAACCACGAGCGTCGCCAGACACTCGACCTCATCACCGCGCTGGCGCTCCAGGCGCTGGCTGAGCAGGGCCCAGCTGCTGCCGCCGCCCTGGCCTGGCGCCCTCCAGGCCCCGATGGGGTCGTGCCTACCACTGTCAATTACTACGTGACGCCTGGAGCCCACTCCTATCCCACCTGGCTGCCTTGTAACTGACTCAGACCCTGGCCAAAAGGGACGGGCCTCGCCGGGTGGGTGGGGCCTCCAGGAGTGTGTGGAGGACATGCCCAGGGAAGGGCGGCCTGTGCCAAGTGGCCCCGCACTGTTGCAAGGTGGGGCCTTTGCCTGAGCCGACCAGACTGCACAAGTGAGGCCCTGGCGGGCCCTTAAGGCCACACTGGGCATCTAGCAGGAGGCCCTTTGGTTTTTGCTCCATGCTTTTGGACCAGCATGATTGTGGGGTGCAGCGCTTGTCTTGGGGGTTGATTGCCTTCAGGAGACAAATCAGGTTTGGGGTAGAAGCCTCAAGATGTAGCACCTTGGGTTGATTTCTGTGGCCTAGAAAGGGTCATTCTGACTAGGACCAGTCCGCAGTGACCGCTGCAGCCCACGTGGTGACTAACAGCATGTGATGGGGACCATTGACTCTGGATCAGGTTGGGACCTAATGGCCTGGGGGGGTCCAGCCTGGCTAATCACTGGGAGGAGGGAAACTGAGGCAGATCCCCGCGTTTGGGAAGGGGGTGAGTTAGCTGGCCTCATGAAACTCACACCCCAAGCTACGAAGTCGTGCCCTGGAGGGGCTGAGGTGAGTGATGGACTGGAGCCCAGCAGCCAGGGTGAGATGCAGCCCACGGCCTCCCATTGTGTCGCTCCCTTCCCCTTGCGTTGTGAGGAACACACTTGCCGGGGAGCTTGCTCTTTGGAGGGTGCTAGGCCCAAATTTGCCACAGTCAAGTGTTCTTCCCCACTGGCTTGGTTTCAGGGCTCTCACATGTGGAAGGGGCGCCATGTCCCACCTCCTTTTCAATCCCTCTGGATTCGTTACCTTAATACCTGCCAATAAAAATCATCTACACTGAGCTTAGCAATGTGCTTTCCTTTAGAGGAGGGACCTCCCCCGACTGGAGGCTGCAGCTGCCTCCTCTGTCTGAATCTGGCTTGTATGGGGAGGACATGGCGGGAGGGGCCTCCTGGGGGCTGGGGGACTACCCTCCGCACTGACACCAGTTGTGACTGCACACTGGGAGTTAGTGTCTGGCATGAACTGCACCCGAGTGTTGCCACAGCAGTTCTGTGGCTTTCCTCTTAAAGAGGGACTATTTTAACATTTCTTATCCATTTCTAATAGTCCTGAACCTGGCCTCACACCCCAGAGCACAGGGCTACTTGACACCAGCTCTGCCCACCCCATCACTCCCAGGGAATGAGTTGAGTGAGTCTGGACTAGAGATTCTAGGGTCCCCGAGAGCCAAAGCCCAGGTAAGGCCACCCAACTGGGAAAGGATCCCTCAGCACTCCAGTTCCCTGTCACCTCCAAGAGTCTGCTCTGGCTGCTCTAGGCAGGTTCTCTGGAGGAACGGGGTCACTCCAAACCCAGGCTGTCTAGGAGAGTCAGCCGCAAGCTCCCAGAGAGCTGTGCCCTCGAGGCCTGAGGCCGTCATGGCCTAGACGCTGCCACTGTTTACCCAGCCTCTTTGATCCCAGGATTGCAAAGCCTTTAACCTATTCAGCCTCATTAAGGGTCTCTGAAGTGGTAACTTTGATGGTTCCAGGCAGGGTGGACAAAACAAAGCCACAGAGGAGGCCCTAGGTCACCTGGTAAGTCCAGCCACCTCACCTGCCCAAGGGGTCCCTGGGGTGCCCCAGCCCCTTCTGCTGCTGGGCTAAGAACAACCACAAGGGCAAGTGCTTGGTGACTGATAACAGCTCCAGCCCCATCCCAGTTGCATCCACCCAACTAGGATCCTAGGGAGGGGCGGTAGTTATCCCAGCTCCTCATTTAGCCATTCGAGCCTGGGCAAGACGGGGTGCCCACAGTGTGAGCAGAGCACAGCAGGCCTAGCTCACAGCAGTGGGAGCAGGTCCACCTGCACATGCTCGTTTCCGAAAAAGCCAGGCATCATGTGGCACACGTGCACAGACTGCCTTCAGCCTGCAGTGTGCCAGGTACTCTCCCAGGTGTTAGGAATACATCCCGTGCAAAGGACATAGATCCCTGCCCTTGGACAGAGTGCATTCTAGTGGTGTAAGGAGGAAATAAACTAAGTTATATGGTCTAAAAGGTCAGCAGTGCATAACAACATCCATAGCAGAATAAAGGATTGGAAGTGCTGGGTTTTGCAACTTTAAAAAGAAGGATATGCCTCGGGACCAGCCGTTGGCAAAATGGCTACGTCGCTGGGCCTCCATGTAGTAACCGCGGTTTGAGTCCTGGACCCGGTGGCTTAAACTAGCACCAAGTGTGTGTGTGCGTGTGTGCCCAAGATCCCGAGAGGAGAATGGAGGAGAGGGGATTGTGGCGTGGCCATCCCCCCCGAAGGGTGACTTCTCACTTTCTGTCTCTCTGTCTCCAGTGAGTACACGTGCCCTACAGCAAAAACCTCTCCAAAAATAAGGATATGCCTCGTTGAAAAGTGACATTTGATTAAACAAAGATGTCAAGGTGGTAGGAAGCGAACCAAAGTTTCCCAGCCGAGAAACCTTGTCTGCCAGAGTACACGTGCCCTGGCTGACAAGTCTGGGGGTGTCTGGCCGGCCTGTGTGGGTGTGGTGCTTGCTGGTGCTCGTCTGCACATGTGCACGGTGTGAGGAAGTAGGGGGATGTGAGCCAGCATTTCCTCCTAGTATCTATCATTTCTGGTGTGTTCTCCTCCAGGCCAGGTACTGTGCTCAGGTCTTCCTGACCACTGTCCCTCATTTCACCCTCAACACAACTCAAGAGAAGAACGAGTACTGTTTCTTTTCTATATACAAAGACACTGAAATCAGAGGGGTCAAAGAGGTTTGTCTGAGACACTGTCAGCTCCTGCAACGTCCTGTCCCTACACTGTCATTTCAGGTGGATGATCATGATATGTCTCCTTTACATATATATGGTGACGTATTTGATGTTACCGTGACATTTGTCACTTATGTATAATTACAGCAGATGTAGCAATGTGCCAAGATGTACTCCTTGATGTCCATGTGACACTAGCCATGGCTTGTGGTGGTCAGGGGACTGTGGTGGCAGCGTGCCTGTGGGTGTCTTGAGGACAGGGTGCAGGGTTTCCAGGTGTGAGAACACCAACTCAGTGGCTTACACTGTTCTCTCGTGGACAATTCCTGCAGCCATCGAGGACTCCCAGACAGGCAGGAATCAGGGACTGGGAATCAGAAACTGTGAGGGAAGAAAGCCTGGTCCTCCACCTTCCAACCCCACCATGCCTGCCAAGGAACGCTCCACCCACCCTTTGCAGCTTGGTGGCTGGGTGAAGAAGCATTGCTGGGGACCAGCAGTTAGCGTAATGGCTATGTCGCTGGACTCCCATGTAGTCAACCACAGTTCGCGTCCTGGACCTGGTGGCTTAAAATGTCAGGCTCATGTGCGTGCGTGCCCAAGATCCCAAGTGGAAAATGGAGGAGAACGGACTGCGGCGTGGCCGTGATTTCTCACTTTCTGTCTCTCTGTCTTTCTGGCGAGCGCACACACCCTATAGCAAAAGAAAAAAGCATTGCTGTGGACTTTGGGAAACAGAAGACACCCTCAGGCAGCTGCATGATAGGCTGGTTCCTCCAGACGCCCTTTCCACCCTGCTCCCTGCCTTGTCCTGGGGAGCTGACATCTACAGACTGCACATCAATGGCTCCCTTGTTCCCTGGCTTCCTGTTGGGTTCCTGCCCCACTGAACCCCCCCCCCCACCAGCAGGAAGGAGGGAGGCGGAGGAGGTGTTCATCCTTCCTGCCACCTCCCTGCCAGGATGTCAGGGTTGGCGACAGCTCCTGTCAGGGGTCCTCTCCACACAGATCCCCCCTTCGCCCCTTCAGGCCCACAGGGCTTGTCAAGTCTCTCCACTGCTGCTAGCCCAGATAGCCACACTAGCCCTGGCCAGTTTATTCTTTTTTTAATGAAAGGCTATTTACTGGGCCACCAAATAAAGGCTGGATAGAGATTAAGGCACTGGATCTCACATGGCCACCTTCGCAGTCCAAGCTGGGCTGCTTGAAAGTCACACTGAGTATGTGTGTGTGTCCCAAAGTCCTAAGAGGAGGATAGGGAACAAGGGATTGTGGCCTGGTCATCCCCCCTGGGGGACGATTTCTCATTTTCCTTCTTGTTCATTTGCTCTCTTTCTGGCATGCACATGCACATGATAGCAACTTAAAAAATAATAAAAAGTTATTTCTTCCATGAGTGGGAGAAACAGAGACACAGAGAGGAAGGGCAGGACCCCCAACATAGTCCTTATACTACCATGTACCCCCAGTTTCAGCCCCCCGCCAGGTCACGGAACATACATGTGCCCTGCGTACTCAGGAAGTCTCCAGACACAAATCCGAAATTTCCTGTGGGTCAGCCTGAAATAGTGTCATAATTTATTGCTGCCCCACTATATCTACCCCCCCCTTTTTTTTTTCAGATTTTTGCCATAGGGCATGTGTGCTTGATGGAGAGAGGGAAATCACCCCTCATTCTCTCAAGATTCTGGGCAGGCCTATACACATACCTGTGTGCTTTTCAAGCCACCAGGTCCAGGACTGGAACCTCGGAGTCACCCACGTGAGGTCCAGCACCTTAACCACCACCTCCAGCTGGCACAATCCTGGTCAGTTTAAGCATCTCCCAGACCTTTAGAAACAGCCCCTTTTTCAACATCCTCCATTTGAGTGTGCCCTCGCCCTGCTGAGACACTGACACACCGAACCCCCACAGGCCATCATGCTGCCCTGTTGTCACCAACATGCACACCTCCCTAGGGTCACCCAGTCTCACATGCACTCCCATACCTGAGCTTCGTCATCACGTCCTTCACTGGGAGGACTTCCTGGGGAGGGTCAGCTGTGAGCCAGGTGAAGGGTGAAATCGGTCTGTTAACCAGTCTATAGGCAGACTGCCAAACGAAACCCAGCAGCGGCTGCTCGAGGAACTGCCGAGGTAAAGAGCCGTGACACACACACACAGGAAAGGCAGCGAGGACTCTTGCAAAGTAAACCTCAAAACAGGTGCATTGCCTCACGTGGCTGAGATTTATTCTTCCTGACGTATCAGTCAGGGAACTAGTTCAGTACACATTCAAGTTGCAGAATTCTACAAGTTCTGGGTTGGGTGTGAGTAAATGTGTCCCCCTTCCCTCCATCATCAAGATGGTTGAATACATGTTTGTTTGTTTCATTTCAAAGTTTGCTTAGAAGTTTCACAGTGCCACCACCTCTTCCTGAGAAAGAGGTGAATCCCCCAGGAGCTAGTAGCTGATTGTCTTTCCGAGGGGCCCAGGCAAGTTCCTACACAGGGGAGGGGGGACAAGATGAGGGAAATTCGGAAGCGGGAGCCAGGGATTTTTCAAACTGATGTTTTCCCTCAAACAGGCCTCCTGGTGCTGTTAGACTTCGAAACAATAATGTCTACTAAAATGGGGGCCCCAGCTGAGCTGAGACTTGTCTAAACATCTGATTCTATCTCAGCGCCTGTAGTCACATTGTACAGCACCAGCCCAAGTCCAACGTGCCATACAGAAAGAAATCCTAGTATGAGCAAGTCCCCAGGACCCAGCCCCTTGCCACCGCGCGGGCAGGGCTCCTGTGAGGAGGGTGCTGAGGTGGTGTAACGTCGAGCCTCCAAGTCATCCGGAATGAGCTGCCGGGAAGGAACAGAATCCTGGAGTCCAGAACCATAGAATGGAGGCTCTGAAGAGCTGGGAGGAGCTGGAAAGAATAATCCCAAGAGTTTTAATGATCTCTTTCCCACAGCCACCCAGCCCCACCCAAACCTTTCAGCAGCTAGTAGAGAAGGCACAGGAGGCAGTATTAGGGAATGGGGCTCAGGGCGGGGGCTCCTGGGAGAAGCAGAGGTTCCCCTGGGCCTTTGTCCTTGGCCCTGAGCCCCACTGGCCTGAGTAGCCGGAATGGAATGTTCCTGGGATGAAAAGCCTACCCCCTCCTCCACCTTTCCTCTTATGGAGTTACCCAGAGACTGTAGTAGGGGAGGCGGGGTGGTCCAGGGAGTCCTGATATGGTGATGCGCTAGCTAAGAACAGGCCTGTACTGCTTGGGGGTGCTGTCCTGGTCGCCTCCATTGCTCACAGATCTCCACTGGGTACTAGGCACTCAGATGTTATCACTTCCCTGGCTCCCCTCAAAGACAAAACCAAAGAGCAAACACACAAATGAAACTGGCTCAGAAAAGGAAAGTCATTGCCCAAGGACACCCCCACAGACACACACTCCTCCCCCAGCAAGTTCCCGGCCAGGACAGAGTCCCAGGCCTGTTCTGTTGTCTGCGTCTGGGACCCTTTCTGCTCTGCCACGCCCCACGTCACCCTCCTCCTCTGCTATCCCGGTTCTGTGCTCTCCTTGGCACCAAACGTTCCAGCCCAGATCTGCAGGGAAAGGAGGCAGCCCTCCAAGGCACCCTTGGGCCACCCTCGCCAGAAGCGAGGGGCGCTGACTCAGTCTGACTCAACCCCCAGGGCCCAGACAGTCCTGCTGGGGTGTGCCCAGACCTGAGGGGAAAGTGGGAAGGGGGTGTTTCTGCCACTCTCCAGCATCTCATAATATCCCTCCCCACAACCAAGGATCGGGGTGGCAATACAGCTTCAAAGTAACATCCAGAAACCCCCTCACTGGCCTAATGAATGAAGCATGATGTGGCCCAACGTTTGAGGGACCCCTCCCCCCTTTCAGGTGCTATGTCTTTGGGCAAGTCACATACCCTCTGTGACTCTGCTTCCTCGTCTGTGGAAACGGGGATAATTACTTTGCAGTGTGGCTGGGAGGGCTGAAGCAGATAATGGGCATAAAGTGCTTAGCATAGCGTCTGGCCCAGAGGAGGTGCTTAATGTGTTATTCCAGAATCCGGGGATCCCTGCCTCTAGCACTCCTGGCCAGGGTGCGGTCAAGGACCAATGTGGGAAGAAATAGGTTGGGGATTTCCAATTCCCAGATTCCTCTCCTCTGGCAGGTCCGAGCAGGCGTCTCTTATTCAGCTCGGACAATCCCAGGCCTCCAAGTTGCTCTCAGGGACTGCCTGTCTGGGTCAGGGTCAGGGTCAGGGTCAGGGAAAGCAAGCCCCTCTGACACTATCCAGCGTAGCCTTGGAGCACCTTAGGCACTTCCTGTCACTTCAGCCTAATCTCTGGGGCCACTCTGTGGCCAGGCCAAATCTCTCTTTCCTGATGGTCTTCTCCCCAAGGTCTGCAACTCTGCCCAGCCACACAGCCTCTGCTGCACCCCTTCTCCAAGTGGGTTCCTCTCCCCAGGGAGCTACTGATGGGTGCAGCTAGGGTCTCTAACCCCGCCCCATCCAGGAAGCCACCATGGGAAGCACACTCCCACTCTCAGGCCACTCCGCTTGCTCTGCCTCCCGGGCTCTTACAACTCTAGGCCTAGACAGTGCCAGGAAGACCAGAGGGCGATGGAGACTACCTATCCCAGGCCACGCCCCATCTGGAGAAACAGTCCCACACTGCCCTCCAGTGGCACCACCCACATATGGCAGGGGCCAGGCCAGAGAAGGAAGGGGTTTATCCAGGTGAGACTAGACCTGCTGTTCTCCCAAGGTCAGACACTGGCCTGAGAAAGGATCATGTTTCCTTCACCTCCCTGCACTGGGATCCTAGGTTCCCTCTTGACAACAAAACCCTAATGTCCTCTGCACAGGTCTTCCAAGGTCCCAGGGCTAGGGACCAACAAGAAAGTGTTCAGCAAATCGGGAGGTAGGAGTGGAGGTGAGGTGTTGGTCTCCTGCCCAGGGGTTACATTATTAGCAAGGGCCTAAACAGCCCTCCAACAACAAACTGCCCAGCCCCCAGGGGGGTCCCTGGGACAGTGAAAACCAGGAAAGTCACCTGGACAAAGGCTGGGAGACAATAGCTCCTGAAAGCTCCGAGTCAGCTCTGTTTTCTGAGTCCCTGGACTGGGTTGTTATCCATGTCTAGTGATAGAGAAGAAATGAAGCCAGGCTGGGCAGCTTCTAGACAGGCCCTGGAGGGCCAGGCAAGTGCTGGAAGGTGACCTGTTAGCTGGCTGAGGGACAGCAAACAGAGCAGTACCCAGCAGCTGGCGTTTAGGACACGGAGCACTGGGTGCCGGGCCAAGGCCCTGGGTGAGGAGCAGTGGGACATCTGGAAGAGGAGGAGGGAGGAGACAGAGCTGGGACACGAGCACCAATCTCCACTTACTGTCTCCCACCCGCTCGCCACACACAGCACTTTCTCCAGCTGTTGTTAGCTCTAATTCTCTACACACTCACCCTGCCCCCAAATCGAGACAAAGCTGATTACCAACAAATCCCGGAGAAAGGCAAAATTGTGATGGCATAGAGCACTTCCACCATTAGCTGAAAGCTCTTCTGGATCAAGTGTCCCCTCCTTTGCAACCCAGAAAACAAACAGTCCTGGCTAAGGCCCAGCACTGCGGCCTGAGCTCCCTCACTGCCACCTCCAAAATGTCCCTGTCGCCTGCGTGCCTCTAGACCCCAAATGACCCCAGTGGCTTTGGTAGGTCCTCCCTCTCTGGAGAGACCAGACGATGCCCAGGCCCTCATGGCTCCCTGGTCCCCAAACTTTCTCTGAGCCTGATACCTCCACCTGGATCTCCCTTTCCCAGCTGAGAACTTAGAAACCAGCCAGAAAGACTGGTACATGGGAGAGGGCAGGTGCAGGAGGGCCAGCCTGCCAGAGCCATGTGCTGACCCTAAGGACCTTGGAATGGCCTTATCCTCCTCTCCCTTTCACCCCATTCCCAAAGCCTGACATAAGGAGGGACTGAGGAAGCTGTGAAGAGGGGGGCAGACAGGGACCAGAAGCCAACTCTCCCCAGCCCCTGCCCAGGACACCAGGAAGGGCACACGAGGCCCTGACCTGGTTCTGCCACCTGCTGGCATTGTGACCTTGAGAAATGCCCTCTCCACGCTGTCAAATGGAGACCTTCAGTGAGCCCCTGGCTCCGCCCGCACACACAGTGCCTGTTTGCAGGTGTGGTTTCAAAGAATAAAACATCTCTCCATGACTTATGGAGAAGACCCTCTGGTGTGTGTGAAGCTCACCACAGCCCTCCAGGAGGTGATTCAGTTCACAGGCTGACACGTGAGGCTGCAGGGAAACTCCACCAGAGAGCTGCAGGGCAGGCCAGGGCCCAGCCACTCTCAGCTGAGTGGCACAGGGGGATGGATGGGGGGACAGAAGGGCATTTAGACGCCAAGAGAAACAGATCTCAGGCTGGCCCTTTAAGGCCTCCCTGAGGATGCCGCTGCATACCTGCCCTCTTGGGGCCTGTTAAAGATGTCACCTGGCTCCATTCCTGGCAGAGCCATCTTAGAGACAAGTTGGGAGGGAGGCCCCTAACTGAGCAGGTGTTGAACACCCTCCACCCCTCCCACCCCTAGCCGGTGCTGGTTATGTCAGATTGTCGTCTTGGCAAAGCTGCACCAAGGCATGAGAAAGTGCTCTCCTCCAGCGGAAGGGCCTAAGCCTGAGTATCACCAAACCGACTCTCAGCGTCTCTGACCCTCAGCCTCTCTGGGATTCCGTCTCCCTGCGCAGGAAACAAGTCCGAGAGGAGAGCTCAGCCCTACAGCCCGCCCTGGGCCCTCGTCCTTCTGCCCTCCTGAACTACGGGAGTTCGGAACCGGCAGTCTCAAGGGCATGACTTCCAGTCCCGAAGGGCCCAGGGGAGGCAACGCAAATGGAGGCGAGGTTAACGTAGGGAGGCTGCGTCCGTGCAGCAGGCTCCCAGCGGGAAACGGGCCGCCAAACCCCTCCTCGCACCTGAGCACCTCATTTTGTCCAACTGTAAAGGGGACTTGAAGCCATCACTCCCCAGGTGGTCTGGGAGAGGGGGCAGCGGAAAGTATCAGGGACCCAGCAGACACCAGAGGCCCCAGGGAAGGGAGGTCCCGGGCCCTGCACCTCCCCGGCCCGCCCCTCGAATGCACTAGCCGCTCAGACCGCACCTCAGCCTCCTTTACTGGGCCCCGGCCCCCCGACTGTCCCCTCCTGCC